CATGAATTATATTGAGCTGATGAAAACTGGATTGGAGGCCGCGGAGACCGAAGCGTGTGCCGCTGCAGCGTGCACGTACGTCGACGTAGCGCTCACGACCACGGAGCAGCTGGGGCCACCCCGGCCCGCAATTTTGTAGTAATGGGAGGTGGTTCTGCGTTCTTTTCAGGGCGGTTGATCGATCGATCCCTCCCGTTCACACTAGTATAGCATCGCTCAAGATGATATATATAACAACAACCTAAGATTTTGATTCGATTGTCATGACAAGAGGATATATATATATATATATATATATATATATATATATATATATATATATATATATATATATATATATATATATATATGTGTGTGTGTGTGTGTGTGTGGATATATTTATATCATTCTGAAAAATAAGTTATTTCGTGTATCTCTATTTACGATAATTTTATATACTAATTTACGATAAATATCAATACAATTTATCAATAGTTGGTTATAACACACGGTATTTACCATAACGTGATAAAAACTTTCGAATTCTATAATCTGTAAGTTAATATAGTAATTATAAATATCAAAGTGGCTATAAAATAAGTTATTTTATAGCTAGCTACTGAGTAGTGTAGTATATATATATATATATATATATATATATATATATATATATATATATATATATATATATATATATATATATATGTATGTATGTATGTATGTATGTATGTATGTATGTATGTATGTATGTATGTATGTATGTATGCTTCCGTGTGCCCACTATCTTCATCCAAATCAAATGGTTTGGTCCGTGAGAAATTCTTCTGGGATCAATATACTATTAATTACAGCTGGATACAGCTAACACAAGTTTTCTTTTTCGTGTGTTGTTAGACTTCCCTTTGCGTGCAGATCCATATAGCCCTGCTAAGACTGTCTCCAATAACGTTACCCAGACGCAAAATGAGTCCTACACAGTGTTTTGCGTATCAGGAAACGTGGTCCAACGGAGCACGCAAAGAGATGACCCATTTTACATAGCACCCGAAACGAGAGGCAAATAAGCGTCTTCTAGGGGAAGACGCAAATCTCTGACGCCCGGTGGATCCCGGTGAGGCGCGGCCGGCTCGGCAAGGCGAGCCCGCGGCGGGGAGCCGCCGGCGCTTCCAGACGGGTCCACGGCGGGGCGCGGCCAGGCCAGGAGCAAGGCGAGGAGCGGGGCAAAAAGCGGCTCTTGCGTCCAGCGGGCCAGCAAGGGGAGCCGCCGGTCGGAGAGGAGCCATGGCCGGCCGCGACCAGCGCCGAGAGCCGCCGACGCGCTCGCAAGGCGCGCCAGCCCCAGATCCGGTGGGCGCTCGCCCATGTTGAGGAGGCTGGGCGTAGCGTAGAGGAGGAGGATGGGGTGCGACACGGCGCGGGCCGGGGAGCGGCGATCGGCTTGGGGCGGCGGAGGCAGGCGGAGGAGGCCGCGAGCGGGGGGCGGGGGAGCGGCGCCTCGCTGGGGAGAAAGAAGAGAAGAGAGGGATCGAGCGGAGAGAGAGAGAGAGGAGGGAGCGGGGAGGATTTTTTTTTGCATCGGCTGTTGGAGAACATATGTAATGGGTGCGGGACTCATTCACTATGCATGACTCAAATCCGAGAATGTGTATATGGTTTGGGTACACACGGTTGGAGATAGCCTAATGGGTTGAAATCAATCGCCTCCTCAGGCCAGCCCATACCGAGTTACTCCCTCCGTATACAAATAAAACGATGTCCTGGCTCCTCGCGTAGTTTGCGGATAAAACGTCGTTCTAGCGCCGCAGCCCCTCCCCTGGACTTGTTTGCCCTTGGCTCATCGATCTCTGCGTGCAATTACTCAGCGCCCGCAGCGGGGGCCTTCGCCTCGATTCACGCCGCATGTGCGGCGACGCCGCCCTCTCGTGTGGTCGTCAGCGTCTTTAAAACCGCGCGCGCCGCTCGAGTACCAGCTTCGCATCAGCGCTGCTGCCTGCGCCCGCTGCGTGCTCGGCCTCAACTTCGCCTATTTGCTTTCTTGCTTTGCTCACGCTCACCAGTCCGCTGTCGTCAGCGCTGGCTTCATCGCTTTCGCCCCGATCCGCTTCGCCCATCATTCAGGCTTTCGCCGGTCCGCTCGCAAAATGCGCTAAAACTACAAAAAAATGGAGACAATGGGGAGTCGAACCCGCACCGCTCTCAACACCAGACACCGGCCCCCGCTGCGCTAGCCAGTAAGGGTGTGCAACTTTCTTGTATGGAATGCAGCCACAGCTGTATTTAATAGGGGTAGACATGGAAAATTTTACCCTAATTAATCACTCATTGGTAGGCTAAATGTTGTCCTAAACGCCATTTTTTACTAGTATGGAGGGAGTAATTAGCTATCTTATCTAATCCATTCCACCCTATAATTTTGGCCTTTCAACCTAACTCGCTCAATTCGTCAACTAGAGAACCACGGGTTTGCTACAATGACGAGTTTGTATAAAAACGTATATGTAATTTTAATAATAAAATATATAAATATATAAATTGCGTAAAAAAGTCGGGCCATAGATTTGAAATTTCATGTCCACCCCTTAAAATCATTTAGGGGGGTGGTCAGAGAGGGAGCATTTCACGCCAAACCAGTTTTCGAGGCACCACGTCCATGCACTGAAATGGTTTCGGCTCCGTGTTTTGCTGGTCAGAAGCACTCCTTAGCCCATCCACGAAGCTGGTGGAGAAGCTGGTGCTGGAGTCGCACAAAACGGAGCCTTAGTCAAGCCGAACATCTTATATTGGATTTTAGATATGCATCTTTTGTATGGTGTGGATGCACAAGTCATCCTGCCAAATTAAAAAAAAGGGCAGATCCAGTGCCAGAGGCTCCCACATGAGTGGGGTCTGGGGAAGGAAAAAACCGAGGTAAGCCTTCCACCCGTAAAATCTACGGAGAGGCTGCTTCGAACCCGCGACCTGGTGACTCAGTGAGACAGCTTTCACCACCGCACTTCTTACTACAAAGGTTAAAGAATTGTTTTTTAAAGATCTGGTTAGACCGGCATTATAGTAATAAATGAGAGTTTATAGGAGGTACATTTTACAACACCTCCGGTGCGCGAGAGGTTACAGATAAAACTATTTAATTACTCAAAAGGATGGTCGATCATTAAGGGCCAAGAACTCCAACCCCCCCCCCCTCTCTGCCCGGGACCAATAGGCTTACATCCCTGATTTCCCCCTAGCACAGCCTGTGTTGTACTTGTGGAATTTCTGAAAGTCACCGCATTTCTTTGTTTCCATACGCACCAGAGTGTCAGGATTGCTAAGGCGTGCGTCATCTTGATGCCCGCTGCTGTTAAGCTCAAGAATACGTCCTTGATGTCAGTCACCTCGAAAAGGTTAAAGATTTGGAGGTTGAATTGGAGGCCACAAAGCAAAAAGGTAGAGAGACACTACAACAAGCTATCCTTGATGAAAGAGAGAATTACCCAGATGCAGTGGGACGAGCTCCGCAGAAAGCCAGGTAGTACTGAGACAAAGTGAAACCTGAAGACTGAACAGGTCTGTTTTTTCCCGCTGTTCTTGTCATTATGGTTGCTAGCTAATGATAAGATAGTCCAGCATTAAAGAATGTGATTATATTACCTTAATCAACCGTTTGTCAGCCGTTTTGTTTTTTTTTTCAAATTTGGATGGTTAAGACATGAAGAGCAGTAAAGACTGAATTGTTCAACAAGCGCACAAATTAATTTCTTGTTTATTTTAATGTTTCCATATGGCCCCTCCTGTCAAACTTGGATGGATAAAGCTCGATCTATTTACGGTAATTTTTCCTATCGGGCATCACTTCTGTCCAGACGGACCCGCCCATGCGCCCACGGAACGACTCGGACCAACTCGTCTTCATCCACTCACGTTCCGCTCCCCTCATCCTCATCCCCACTTTGCGCCTCCACCTCCGCCTCCACGCGCCCACTCTGCCTCCCGCTCCCTTATCCCCCCCCCCACTCACTCACTACATGACAGCTCAACGAACGTCGTGCCCATGCCCCCAGCTTCATTGCCGCCCGCCCGCCTGCGCTCCCTCCCTCCCCCTCCCCCCTCCGCGACCTCCATTACTACCCCGCGCTCCCCAGCGACCCGACTCCCGCTCCCCCAACCGGAGACGAGGACGAGGACGACGGCTACGACGAGGTCGGTCGGTCCTTCTCTGGATGTGAGGCCTCCTCCTCTTCTCTTGATCTGAGCCCTCCTCTGGATCTGAAGGACGCGGCGGTGGCTAGTTCGGTCAGTCCTTCTCTGGATCTGAGCCCTCCTTCTCCTCCTCTCGATCTGAGCCCCCCTCCTCCTCATCTAGATCTTAGGGACGCGGCGGTGGCAAGGACGATCCAGCACGTTGCACGTATGCGGTGCGGTGCGCGGTGCGCCTGCCGATCAGACGTACGTACGTGGCCATGACGCCCAGCGGCGCGGCAAACCAGCACCAGCATGGCCGGACTCCAGCTCTCTTGAGAGTTGCCTCCTGATGTCCGGCCTGCACCAGCCACAGCAGCCCACAGCCAGTAGGAATTGATGGAGACGACGATGACAACAACAGTCACCAGCACGCCGCACGTCGCAATCCCGTTGGGTTTCAGGCGTCATAACTCTAAGCAGTACGCCGAGCTGCAGGTGGGGGGATGGGATTCGGCCGGGCCGGTGGTGCGGCTGGGCTGGAGCCATCCTTGACTGTTGCCCCGCGTCCTCCCTAACGCCCCAATTGGTTGGCTTGCGCTGCATTGCATCCCTTGGCATTGGCGACCAAGTTACACGTATAAAGCCATGCCGCGCCGATGCAGCGTGCATGACCAGCTAGAGGAACACAACTGTCCTGTCCACAGGACACACGCCTTAATTCATTTCATCGGCTGGCTCACGGACGAGTCTACAAAAAGCACAACATAGGCAGAGTAGGGCAGCCGTGAGCTGAGTTGAGCTGATACGTACACGGCAGAGTCGTTGCTAGCCCGGCCGCCGGAGCTCTCCACCATCTCGACATGGGTGCCGCGCTCTTGGCTTCTTGGCCATGGGACAACCTCGGCTTCTACAAGGTACGTACGATACGACGCCAAGCAGCTAGCTCTTGGGGACGATCGACATCGATTCGCGTGCTTAATAAAGCTTGCATGCATGCATGCAGTACCTTCTGTACGGCCCGCTGGTGGGCAAGGCGGTGGCGTCACGGGCGTGGGAGGCGGCGAGCCCCGACCGCTGGATCCTCCTCCTGCTCCTCCTCTTCGGCCTCCGCGCCCTCACCTACCAGCTCTGGAGCTCCTACAGCAACATGCTCTTCGCCACGCGCCGCCGCCGCGTCGTCCGCGACGGCGTCGACTTCCACCAGATCGACAAGGAGTGGGACTGGTACGTCTACGTACGGCTAGCAGTTGGGCAGCAATCATCGATCGGAACATCTATCTTGGCTAGCTAGCTAGCTAGCTCTTGATGATCGATCAATAATCAACGCAAGCCGTGTCATGTCCTAATTTTTTTCCTTATTGCCGCATGCATGCATGCAGGGACAACTTCCTGATCCTGCACGCCCTGATGGCGGCCACGGCGCTGTACGCGTTCCCGTCGCTGCGCCACCTCCCGCTCTGGCCGGACGCCCGGGGCCTCGCCGTCGCGGTCCTCGTCCACGCCTCGGCCACCGAGCCCCTGGCCTACGCGGCGCACAGGGCGTTCCACGGCGCCATCGGCGGCCGCCTCTACTCCCGGTACCACTCGCTGCACCACTCCACCAGGGTGCCGCAGCCGTTCACGGCCGGCCTCGCCACGCCGCTGGAGCACATGGTGCTGGGCGCGCTCATGGCGCTGCCCCTCGCGGCCGCGTGCGCGGCCGGGTGCGGCTCCGTCGCGCTCGCCTTCGCCTACGTGCTCGGCTTCGACTTCCTCCGCGCCATGGGACACTGCAACGTCGAGGTCATCCCCAGCTCGCTCTTCCAGGCGTTCCCGGTCCTCAGATACCTCATCTACACCCCGACGTACGTGTTGTTAATTGGCTCTCACGCGACTCCCGGCTCTCGCTTCTTTCCTTACAGTCCTGAGTTCACCACGAGTCCACGATTTGACTGCCCCCACGTAGGTTCATTTGATGATAATGACTGCAAACCATATGCATCTACATCGATCTTTAGCTGAAGAGAAGAACCAAAAACAAAACAAACAAAAAACTTGATAGCGATGGCACTAGATGTGTGCACTTGCATGCGCCACGCCTACAAATATATGAGACCTACGCAAGAATGATTGCATGGTGTCACTAGCTGATCCGTACATCCAACCGAACTGTACACACGGTAGTTAAGTAAATTGTTCTTAGTCTGATTGCTGCATCATTTCTAGCTCGATCTGCAATCACGTGCTGGATGCCTTTTAGTGACTTGTGATTCTGCCCAGGTGCTACCGGGTGCTGATACTGTATCACTCTCATGCATGATGCTGGCCCTTCTGTCTCTTGATGCTGCAGGTACCACGCGATCCACCACACCAAGAAGGAGGCCAATTTCTGTCTCTTCATGCCGCTGTTTGATCGGCTGGGTGGCACCATCGACCCGCAGTCGTGGGACATGCACAAGAAGATGAGCGCAGGTACACATGCACGTCTAGCTACCTAGCTTTTGCTTCATAATAACATCATTTTGCATTGGTCAATTCTACACATTTATTACGGTGGTCCATGACGTACACATTTATTAGTTGGACCTCCAGTGATAGTCTGATACTCCTAGCTAATTAAGTAGTCCGAGATCTAGATGAGTAGACAGCCCAACTAGCTAGCCTTCTAGCTTTAATCGATAAAATGCACTGACCAGCTATATCTAGCTGCATGCATGTCCACAACAACAATGTTCCTGATAAAATGCAACGGGACGTTTTGCGGGGATTCTAGTCTTGTGACTAATCACTAGTTATAGGCATAATCTTCTTTCTATATAACACAGCTATACAATTCTAGTGGAGGAGTTTGTAAGCTAAATTAAATATATTAATAGACAAATTAATGCATATGCAGTCTACTATATGTTACCTGATGAGTGTAAGCTGTTGCAAGATGAACTCCTGCTAATTGTCATTTGTCCTTCTTAAGTAGAACAAGAGAGCTAAATAGACGTACTAAAGTAACAGACTAATATAAGTGAAATATTATAATGCAATTGCATGCAAACAGGGGAAACAATAGCAGTACTCATTTGAAACGGCCAGATGAGCTAAACACAAATGCTAATTAAGTTTTGTAATAATGCGTTGAAATATACTCCTGGCATCATCAGGATGGAAGCAACTAGAATTAAAAAGAAGCTAATACAAGTTTAGTCATGGCGTAGATGAATGCATGTAGCTAGGTCATGCAGTGATGCAGATGTGTGTGCGTAGTTGCAACTTTCAAGTGTGCATGCATGCTACTCAAGACACAGGCTCTCTTTGCAAATCTATCCTGAGCAAGGGGGCCGGCGCCCAGGATGGCCCTAACGTGGCTCCGCCAGTGTGTGAGATTGACCAGTGGCTAGTTGTTAGTGGTGCCTGTCTACTAATTTATTTGCATTGCATGCAATTAATAATGAACATGAAGAATGCCCCACCCTAGTAGTACTATCTTGCCAGGAATAGAGGAATACCAAAAAAAAACAAGATATAGTAAATAGTCAAAACTATAGTATTCTAATTAAAACATAGAAATTGATACTTTGAGATGTTTGAAATGGAGGAAAATAATACAGAACATGAGCAAGCATAGCAAGAGCAAGAGCAAGAGCAAAGATTCTTTCCCTTAGGTTGAAGAGATGGTTTTATTTCCTATGTTTTGCACTAATATGGTTTTCTTTTCTTCGAAAAGGAACTCAACTTTCCTTTGTTCCAAACACTGTGATGTACTAATTCCTTTTATTTGAAATCGAATCTTCCAAAATTCCTTTGAAAATTGTTTGACCAAACATGGCCTAATAAATAAATAACTTACTTGCCCTAAATCCAGTCCATTGTAGTCACCCAGAAAAGATACCACAACAAGACAGGCAGTTATTAATAGATCGAATATGACGTACTACTGATTGGTTTTGTTTCACATTATTAGCAGAAGGTTCTAATTCGAGGTGGGAAATGCATGTTGTTTCTAGAAAGGGAATTTTAACCCAAGGCCCCAAGCTCTTCTAGCTCTTCATCATTGCGCGACGCAACCCCCTCAGCAATTCGTCGCCGGAGAAATTAAAAAACCACTCGATAATCGATATGACCAATTCATCATTTCTGTGGAGGACAGCGCATGCATGCGTGCATGCAGCGCCGAGACGGACACGGCCGGCCGGCGAAAAGATGAGCTCGCTGTTTCAATCGATTGAAATCCCCCGGTCAGCATCCGGCAGATGGGAATGGGATATGCCATCAGCCGCAATGAAGGCGCTAGCCTGGTGATTGGCGCGTACGTCGGCCTCGTTCCTCGCCGTCGCCGTCACCAGCACCCGTCCGTCTCTGAACCTCAACCTGGTATTGCCGAGTAGGAGGAGAGCAGGCGGTTGGGAACGGCCGGGCCCGGCGCGCGCCGGCCGACGTGGTCCGATAGCGAGATCGATCAAACTGCAGAGGCAACCGCCGGGGCCAGCGTCGTCCAGGTGTCGCCGGCCTAGCGCTAGCGGCGGGGCTGGCATGGCGAGGTCGCAGGTCGCCGCCACTAGCTCGCTTGCTCGTATACGATCGTGGATTATAAGCTGGAACAATATTTTTCTCTTACACCAAACCAGCCAGCAGTAAATAATCCACGATCGTTTACGACGAAACAAACACTGCAGGTGGGATGTCACCACAACAGAATCGATCGGCAACGCTACGAGCCTACGACCCCTGCTGGCCGCTGCTGATATCCGTCCCGACGCTGACGCTTGTCGATCTGCTCTGACTCTCTGATGCGACTCCTCGTCCTCGATGGAGCAGGTGTGGACGAGGTGCCGGACTTCGTGTTCCTGGCGCACGTGGTGGACGTGATGCAGTCGCTGCACGTGCCCTTCGTCCTGCGGACCTTCGCCTCCACGCCATTCTCCGTGCAGCTCTTCCTGCTGCCCATGTGGCCCTTCGCCTTCCTCGTCATGCTCGCCATGTGGGTCTGGTCCAAGACCTTCGTCATCTCCTGCTACAACCTCCGCGGACGGCTGCACCAGATTTGGGCCGTCCCCAGATACGGCTTCCAGGTTCGTTTCCTGTGTTGTGTTGTGTCTCATGTCATGTCATGTGATGATGGTGTGTTTTAATCTTTGGTCTCTGCATTGCCTGCACTGCAGTACTTCTTGCCGTTTGCCAAGGACGGCATCAACAAGCAGATCGAGCTCGCCATCCTCAGGGCCGACAAGATGGGCGTCAAGGTCCTCAGCCTTGCAGCCCTAAACAAGGTATATATACGTGTATTAATCTATGGAGCCTCAGCTCCTCATGATCTGGAGCTGGAGCTGCCCAATCTAAGACATGTTGGCTTGTGCAGAACGAGGCGCTGAACGGCGGCGGCACGCTGTTCGTGAACAAGCACCCGGACCTTCGCGTGCGCGTCGTCCACGGCAACACGCTGACGGCGGCGGTGATCCTGAACGAGATCCCCAAGGGCACGGCGGAGGTGTTCATGACGGGCGCCACGTCCAAGCTCGGCAGGGCCATCGCGCTGTACCTGTGCAAGAAGAGGGTCCGCGTCATGGTATATATGCATCGTGCCCTGGCGTACATGCATCTAGCTCCATCATCGACTCACCACCCAACTAACAATAGTACTAATAAACACGCACGCAATGCAACGCACGTGTGCTACGTGCTTTAATTATTTGCAGATGATGACCCTGTCGACGGAGCGGTTCCAGAAGATCCAGAAGGAGGCGCCGGCGGAGTTCCAGCAGTACCTGGTGCAGGTGACCAAGTACCGGTCCGCGCAGCACTGCAGGACGTGGATCGTCGGCAAGTGGCTGTCGCCGCGGGAGCAGCGGTGGGCGCCGCCAGGCACGCACTTCCACCAGTTCGTCGTGCCGCCCATCATCGGCTTCCGCCGGGACTGCACCTACGGCAAGCTCGCCGCCATGCGCCTCCCCAAGGACGTGCAGGGCCTGGGCGCCTGCGAGTACTCGCTGGAGCGCGGGGTGGTGCACGCGTGCCACGCCGGCGGCGTCGTCCACTTCCTCGAGGGCTACACGCACCACGAGGTGGGCGCAATCGACGTCGACCGCATCGACGTCGTCTGGGAGGCCGCTTTCAAGCACGGACTCCGGCCCGCATGATCCGATCCGTTTCGTGGCCCGGCTCCAGCGCCTGTACTGTACGAACCAGGCCGAAACGCACGGGCCTGGCTTTGTCACTTTCCCTTTGTTCATTGGGTGTGAATCGGTGGTTCCTGGACATTCAATTTTCTTTTCTTTTTCTTCTTCCATCCACAATATGTATACTGTAAACTATACAATCTATATATACTATATACAAGAGAGAAATTAAAGGATGTAATGAGAGAAAATACAAGCGGTGGTAAAAAAATATCTACATCTATAATATTTTTTAAGGGACTATATCTATAATATTAAAAGCAAATTCTTTCAACCTTTTTTTATCCTCTCCACCATATGCTTGTCATCGAGTTTTTTAGGCACAAGAATAGAGTTGGACGTGTTCAACGAGTTAAAGTATTGGTCACTCGTGATTGTCTAATTGGTTGAACGCTGTTGTGAGGTCATCTTTGTTTATGTCCTAGCAATCCTGGAAGAATAGGCCTATAAAGGTTGTGTTTGGTTTGAGGAATGAGGTGGTCCATCATCTACTCATTCCTTACTTTTTTTTTTTTGGTTTGTGAAATGGAATAGGTTGATGCATCATCATCTCATTCCTTACAAGCTAATAATTAATACTAGTATAAGGAATGGTGTCATTCCACAAAATTTGAGAAATGAACTCACATGATGCACCACCTCACCTAGAATGGAGTGGCTCCTCAAACCAAACACCCCAGTTGTCCAGGCCTGATGCTATCTCTCAGTCATACAAAGAATTGTCTTTTTATCTCATCATGTGAGAAGAGGGACTCTAGGGGAGGAAAGATCATGCTGCTGGTACCCTAAAAAGCCCAATTGAAGGTTGCATCGCTAATTCCTGAGGATCCCAAGTGTTGTTGGAAGTGGTCCGATGTTACCTTCACTTTGTCCTCATGGGCCTACACGAACCAATTATTAGTTTGTAGGCAGTGGATGTGTTTTTTTCTAGGTCTTAAGTTCGCACAAAGCTATAATACTTTAGTGTTTGCATCCCCTCAACTCATATAGGTAAGTTGAGATCTTTGGCTGTGGGCTCTTGGTTTTTCAATTAGTGCAAGTCCCAAGGATTGATTCTCTAGCTTTTTGAGCAGGTCGAGTTCCTCGGGCGAGGAGCCCTTCTTCTTGGGGGATTTCGAGACAAAGAATCACTATTATAGAAAGAAATTTTATCAACAACATTTTTCAGTGTCGGTTTTGTTAAAGCCGTTGGTGAAAATATATCATTGTCGGTTCGAAACAAAATCGACGATGAAAATTATTTTCAATGTTGGTTCTTGTCCCAAAACAACGGTGAAAATGGGTTTCACGGCCGGATCAGGAGAAGACCCGACGGTAAAAAAACTTCCGAAGCAACTTGCATTTGTCTCTCTTCACCACTACATGTGTTTTCTCTAGGTCTATGACAGGTCGGACCTGTGTGTCAACGTGTTGTCCAGCAAATGGTCAACCATAGAGCACGCAAATCCTTAGCCCCACTGCAACCTCTCTATGATCCTTGTGTCGCCATTCCTTCCTCCTCTCTCCGTGTGAACATAGAAACACTTCTCTCTCTCCCTTCCTCCCCTTGGCTTCTAGCGATAGTCCACTGGTGCATGGGCTCAAGCCGAGGGCCCCACGGCAATGCCCTACACAAGGGCATGACTGCACCTCCCAATACGTGGGCCTAGGCAGAGGCCTCCCGCGTGGTAGCACATGGGCCTCTACACGTGGCTCTTCGGTGCATGAGTTGATCTCCTCATCCTCTCTCCCTCTGTCTCAATCTCCCTCGCCCCGCCTCTCTCTCTCTCTCTCTCTCTCTCTCTCTCTCAAACCTGGCGGCGAGCGGCGGGTCGGGAAAGGATACGGCAATGGGCCAGGGCGAGGAGACATTGATGTGGGTTTAGTGGGCGATGGTGTAGGCAACGACTACTACGGAGGGGACGACATGTCAGCGGTTGGATAGAAGCGGGCTCAATATGCTAGCAGCTAGGTTCCTTTTGTTTTTTTTCTGATTATGACTGCCGACATATATAAGGAGCCAATAGTGATCATCATTTTCACCGCTATTTTAAACCAAGGGTGGTGAAGCTTATTATCACTGTCCACTTTCATGTTAAAGAGCAAAACTAGTGGTGTTGAAATTGTTGTGGTAGTGAAAGCTCCTTTACCATGTCTAGTTGCATTCTTCACCGATCTTTGTTTCGCTCCACTTCGTGATGGCTTTAGCATCTCGTGTTAGATTTATGTTTAACTGTTTTAGGGGTTGTGATGATCTCACCGGCTTGTTCCATGCCACTTGGACCTCCTTTTTAAAGCCTTCCATGTGCATCTAGAAGTTTTCAAACTAGAAGAAAATTGTTTGGTATTAGGTTTGTCTCACCTTGGAGAAGTAAGGGTGTGTAGTCAGATATGATAGAAGGCAATGAGTGTATGTAGCAGGTGGGGGAAGAGAAGCTCCCAATCCATTGTATAGAAGACTCTGTCAATTCTATTCATGGTTGGGTTGTCTTGACCATTTCTCCAAGTGAAACAACGGTCGTCAAGGCGACGATCGAAGTTTGTGTTGGTTTTTATCCGCAGCCTGGTTGATGAGGTTAAAATCACGTAACACCAACCACTAGTCGCAGACTAGGTTTGCCAGGTCCTTCATCGGCATCTGCTACATGTTAGAGGTTTTGAAGCCTATTTTTCCCTATGAAGGTTGCAACTCCCACTACGACACATTAGTGACGATTCAAGATGCATATTAGTGATGGGTAAAGTAAGCATCTCTAAATTCACGTCTCTGAAAATATTCAGAGATGGTTATTGAATTGACGAGTCTCTGATATGTGAACATTAGAGATGGGTACTATTGTTATGTGGCTCTAGCAAAATAGGCAGAGACACCCGGTAGATAGATGCATCTCTAATCCTGCATCTATGACCTTTCTTGTTTTAGCGTCACTGATGTATGTCTCTTTTTTTGCGTTCATGTTGTAGTGTCGATCATTCATCCCACACAAAACAATAAAAAGTCCATGCATTTTGGTAACATGTTAAATGAAGGATGAAATCGTTGTATCCAAATAGTCTATTACTTGAGTAATAACTAGTTCACTCATGGAATCTTTAAAAGGAAAACTGAACAGGAACAGCTCCAAAAACTGAATAAAACCAAACTCTAGGGATCCTTGTTCTTCAAGCCAACAGGCTAAACACCACTGACCATAACAATGGCTTGGCTTCACCTGCAAACTAACTGCCATATGCACCACACATATTGGATCCAAACTAACTCCCATATGTACCATTCACATAGGAGCCACAAACATACTACTGCTGAGGAGCACAATCATGAAGAGATGAGTCGGCAAGAAATATTCTCCCCTCCTCCCCTTGATGAATGTACAACCGCAACAGATTTTGAGCTCAAAACCTCTAATCGTGCGTGGACGATGTTGCAGTGGAGCACGTACGACGAAGTTGCCAGAAGGTGACCCTCCCAAATCACACCCCGTACATGGCTGAGACCCTCCGCAAGACAGTCAGCTTGAGCTCGAGGATGCAGATGTAGTCGGCCGTCCGCCGGAGCAACACGTCCACATCGGCGTCCTGGGCGTCAGGGACGATCTTTTTCAGCTCCCTGAGCCTCCTCAGAGCCATATGCTGGAAAGGCCTCCTGCTCATCCGCGACGCCACGCCTTTGTTCTTCTTCTTCCCCACCGTGAACATGACTTTGCTTCTCATATATATCTCCCCGGAGAAGTGGCTCGGTTACGAACTAGTTAAGATTAAGATGTGTAGCTAGATCTGCAGGATGTGTGGTGTGTGTATGACTCGGCAAGGAGGCATTTATAGGGGAGAGAGGCGAAGGATATTTCACTTGGCCATGTGGGAGGACCTTGGTTCTGCACTTCTGCTAATCAGTAGACTGAGCTGTCAGCCTGGAAGCATAGCTCTCACAAGGCATGGCTTGTTACTGTGCTTGTCTGACATGCATGGATAGATAGATCAGGGAAACGTCTGGTGTGTACGTACGTCCATGCTTTTATCAAATTTTTACAGATTTTTCATCAAAAGGTTTATTCCAGATTTCAAGACGATTACTCTGGCAAAGCAATTCTCAATCCACCTCGTAATTTGTCCATGCAGTTGTAATTTTTACTCACTTCGGCTTAGACACCAAACTTGCGCAAACATGATTACATGAGGCCCTGCTGAGCTGTCTTAATTTACTATGACGAACAATAGAGTGCACCCTCTGTTCTTTCTCACCTGAAATGCACGCAGGCGAACTTAAGACAAATCTTCTTGTCCTAATAATCGTAATCATCATCAAGCTGTTAGCATTATTTGCAATGATTGGAGGAATTCCCATGTGATCTTTGCCAACTTGCCGCATGTAAACTGCAAGAATATGCAACTGGATGATATATAATCCGTCGGTGTGGCCAGCTTGGGGCCTTGGACACATTGATAGAGAATGAGTGTATCTTATAAGTGAGCAAACACTCACCAATTGTATATGTCACTTTGTTGTCGTATTTTGGCATGTTGATATATCCAACTGATAAATGTAATTCCTTGCGTCGATTTTATGTAATTCCTTGCGTCGATTTTATTGAAGAAAATTCACAAGCCGTCGTCAGGTCTCTGGGTTTGGGGCCATATATAAAATGGAAATGAAAGAAAGATTGATCGATTGATCTGGCCGTTGGCGACACTACATGTGACCCTTACATCTCACCAATCACAACTGCTATGCATGCTCTGTTACTAGATAGGAACATGGGCTTGTTGCACCCAAGCACTGCTTGCAGAACACAGGGACGGCAGACGCAAATGCCTCTGCATTTTGTAGAAACACTGACAAACTACGTGGAGCGTACGTGTAGCTAACGCATGCATGTGCCAGCTCTGAGGTGCCGATCATTTGATTGTTTTTTTTTTCCAATCAAATTTCAGTTCGGAGATAATCTTTTGAATTCGGATCACATCGGCACGCCATTTTAATTTGC